ACGCCCTTGTTACTTTGTAGGCACCATTACATACCATCCTTGGCCGCGATATCAGAATACGAGGAAGCTCACAAGCACCTGCGCCTATGCTGCTGGGCTGTCTGCTGACATCTAATCCAAGCACTGGTGTAAATGTGAATTAACCCCTGTCGCTTCCACTCATCTGTATAACTGTGGAGATTATTGCACAGCCATGTGCACAAGCTACTACGCCATTCTCCCAACAACAAGCGCGTAAGTGTCCTAACTCCAGATGTGCGTGGCTGCAAGACACCATGCTGAGCCAAATGGATGAGGTAAATATAGTGATGCTCCAGACCCAAGGCACATGTGCACCAGCAAATCAAATCATAGCATTCCTGATCACTTCACAGGAGACAAGCACCTTAGGGTCAAAGTACCAGAGTAACGCACCTCACGTGATTGCTTCACCCCTCTCTTTCATCCTCTCAATGCCAAGCAATCTCTCGCTCATATGTCTGTTTTCACCGCGAGGATACTTCTCCTCGCGTTTCTTCAAATATCTCAAGTACCTCATCTTGCAGTGCCTGTTTACATCTCCAATTGAACAACAATACAGTTCGTTTTACTTCAATTCGTATGAGCTTCCAGCTCATTCCAAACCCCGCCCTAAGTTTCCCTCGCATTGCACCCTCCAGCTCAACAGGGACTCAACAATCCATGGTTTGGGTCACAGTCACCTCTAGTCACTTTCCTGCCTTCCTAATATGAATAGCATTCGATACACAAAGCCTACAAATCCCTCTGCCTTGACCTTACTCCTTCTCACAGGACGACTGCGAATCAGCAACACTGCCCACCATGCCTAGGATAGGATATGACGGTACTCTCTGCTACCATCCTTCCGAAAACTGCCCAATACGTAAGGCTTTCTGGATGTACGAGCCCTCGCTCATCATCAACTCAGCTTTCCTGGTGCTCTTCAGTATATCCTTCATCACTTTCGTCGTTCAAGGCACCGCAGATGCAAAATGGCTTGGCTTCAGTCTCGCCATGGCCATTGGTTGCGCGCTCGAGGTTGCTGGCTACGCAGGACGCATACTGGCACAGCAAGACATGTATGCAGAGGTATGTATTGGCCATAGACGACCGACTGTCTTATCCGAGCCCCTCACTAAGACACTGATGACTGACAACACCCAGACCCCTTTCCTCATCCAAATCATCTGCCTGACCATCGCTCCCGCCTTCCTTGCTGCAGGCATCTATCTCTGCCTCTCGCGCATTGTCACCTCTGTCGGTCCCAAGTATTCGCGCATCAAACCATTCTCTTATCCAAAGATTTTCATCCCCTGCGACATCATCTCTCTCGTGCTCCAGGCTGTTGGAGGAGGCATGGCCAGTGTTGCTATACACCACAGTGAGAGTACCAAGAAGGGCGACAACGTCATGATTGCCGGTCTAGCTTTCCAGGTTGCAACAATGTTCGTATTTATCCTGATAGCTACCGACTTTGCCTGGCGCACATTCCGCAATCGTAAACAGCTTCCGCAGACTACTCAGCGTGAGGGCGAGGGAAGGCCCCAAATATCAACGCCATTCAAGGCTTTCGTCATCGCTTTGACCTTATCCACCCTTTGCATATTCATAAGATGCGTGTTTCGCGTTGCCGAGCTGAGTCAGGGTTGGAGAGGCAAGCTAGCTACCACCCAGAAGTACTTTGTTGGTCTGGAAGGCGCAGTCATTGTTGCATCCGTCTTGCTTCTGAACCTCTGCCATCCAGGGTACGGCTTCAACGCCACCAAACGTGCGAGGGATGGGCAACCCAGCAGGAAGATTTGTTTTTTCTTAAAGAGAAGGTCTGCTGTAAATCAGGGCGAGGCTAGTGATACTGAGCTGACACAAGTCACTACTACCCCGGCAAAGTAGGGGGGCAGAGCGGGCATTGGACGTTTGGACTAAAAAGAAGATATGGAAATAGGTACAGCGAAGAACGGGATATCATCTCATGATGCCTTCTCCACTGACATCAAGTCAAAAACCATGCTTCGTTCCTGGGAGTTTGATTTACTCATTTCATTTGTTCTTGCTAGTTCTTTCTGGTTCCACAATTGTCTTGCTAGATCAATGACCATATCTGCGTGTACTTAAAACATAACATAATGAAAAGGCGTTGTTGACGGCGTTTGTCTTCGACAGTCCTAGGTAGTTTCAATCGGATTGGCATTGGTTCGGGTATTACTGAGCATGAACAACAGCGTCTCCACAATGAGAGACTGAAATATACCAAATCCCGAAGTATGGATCTGTGCACATATCATAACTGACAAAAAGAACGGCTTGCCGAACATCATATATGCTTTTGCGTGGGTATGCTGACGGAAAGAAAAAGTGATTTGTACAGTATGCTGCTGCATCTACGACCCAAATACCATGCTTGATACGTCCTACACTTGCTCACACGCTCTCCTACGAAAAATCGTGCGAGCTTCCAATGGAACCATCTGAACTTCCCACTCCTATCTCTTCTAACATTTCCCTACTCATCATCATATCCCGCTGGCCTTGGCCGTGGTCCCTTTGGTACTGCAATAAATCAGCGCACCACTCTCTCGCATAAAAGAAAGAACATAGAGAAAATTGTCTTCTTCTCCATCCCTCCCCTTCCTCCCCTGTTATCACGTACCTGGGTATGTCAAGGGAATCTTCTGAATGGGCTCTGCGCCCATGTATCTCCGAATCGGAGGGACGGTAACCAACATTACAGGACCAGCGAGGCCGATGACGATCGAGTAGAAGTAAGCCGGCTTGTTGTACGCAGCCCATTTCATGTACCGCAGCGGTTGGCGGAAGAAGAGCGGGGAGGGAGGGACGCCGGACATGTTTGCTGTGTTATGTGTGAGCGTAGGGGGTTTAAAGCGTAGCAGCGACGCGCGCGCGTACCAACTTTATTATCGTGAAGCGAGAAAATATCGAGGCGCAATTCACAAAGGGGCCCAATGCCTTGGTCTGGCGTCGCAATTGCAAGTCGACTATGTCGTGAGGTTAGCTGCTGGGTAGCTCATCGCTCCTCCCGCGCTCCTCCAATCGGCGCGCAGCGATTTTCCGGGACCGATAGGGCTTGGCAAATGCATACGTATCTCCCATGGCAGCTCTCTACGCGGCCGCGCATTCCGTCAAGTTCAAACTTGCACACAACCACAAGATGAGGTGGTTACTTTCTTTTACCCTCGCCTTTGTCTGGTCGCTGGTGGCTCAGGCCAAGAGCTTTACTGGCAGCCGGTTGCTGGTTGTGCTCGAAGACCAGGCCGAGCAGGAGAAGTACAGCGTGTTCCTCGAGGACTTGACATGTAAGTTGATTCATTCTGTCAATTGCAGCTTGGTAGACGATATACATTCTTTGCAAGCATTAGGAATTGGATTGGTTCACGCCTTGGGTTTGGAATTGCAAAGTGGTTGAACTTGCAACTTGGCCTTATGCCGCTCACGAATGCTCACTCGAACAACATTGTCGCATGCAACGACGCTGACACGCACATACAGCCCGAGGATTCACTACAACCGTCGGATCACCAAAGGATACTACTCTCACATTACTCAAGCACGGCGAACGAGCATACGACCATGTCCTCCTCCTACCAGGCAAGTCGAAAGGCCTCGGCCCTGCCCTCACTGCGAACAACTTCCTCGAATTCATGAAGAACAATGGAAACGTCCTTGTTGCCCTCTCAAGCGAATACCCTACTCCTACGGCCGTTCAGGCAATGCTACTCGAAGTCGACATCAGCGTACCCAACGACAAGGGCGCATTGGTCGTTGACCACTTCAACTACGATTCGCTGTCAGCAGATGAGGCGCACGATGTTCTTCTCCTTCCGTTCCCAGGTGCGCTCAGGCCCGATGTCAAGAACTACTTTTCTGGTGAGGGATACATTGCGGCCCCGCGCGCTGTCGGTCAGACTCTTGGAAACGAGTCTCCTCTCACTTCGCCCATTCTTCGTGCCCCCAGTACTGCATACAGCTACAACCCCAAGGATGAAGCTGAGGGTTCCGAGGACCCCTTCGCGGTCGGTGGTCAGTTGAATCTGGTCTCTGCCATGCAGGCAAACAACGCGGCGCGCTTGGTTGTTGTTGGCTCTGCTGAGATGCTCCAAAACAAGTGGTTCGCTGAGAAGGCGAAGCTGGGCGACAAGTCCATCACCACCGGAAACCGTGAATTTGCTGAGAAGGTGTCGGCCTGGGCTTTCAAAGAGATTGGTGTACTTAAGGTTGGAAAGCTCCTACACTACCAGGATGAAGGTGCCAGCAAGAAGTTGAACACCAGCACTTCCATCCCAGAGAGCAACCCCAGCATTTACCGTATCAAGACGGATGTTGTAAGTGGCTTGTATGTCCACTTCTATGGTACGAAGCTAACTTCACAATAGCACTTCCAAGTTGAAATCTCCGAGTACAACATGGACCACCTAGAACCCTTTGTCCCTGCTTCAAACGACAACGTCCAGCTTGAGTTCAGCATGCTTTCGCCTTTCCACCGTCTTAATCTGTCTCCAATTGCGAAGACCGAGAATGCCACCATCTTCGGTACCGGGTTCAAGACACCTGATCAGCACGGTATCTTCAACTTCCGTGTCAACTACCGTCGCCCATTTGTCACCAACATCGACGAGAAGAGGCAGGTCACCGTCAGGCACTTTGCTCACGATGAATACCCAAGGAGTTATGAGATTAGCGGCGCTTGGGTTTGGATTGGAGGTATCTGGGTCACCGTTCTCGGATGGCTCGCATTCGTAGCTGTCTGGCTGTACAGCGCACCTACTGAGAAGAGCACCAAGAAGACACAGTAGATGGACTCTCTGGTTGGTTGTGGGGGCTGCGGTGGGAAGGAAAGGTTCTTTATTGTAGCGCTGTTTTGGAGCCATATCACCCATTGGCGTTGCGCGATATGTACATTATGGAATTAGGGCATGGGAATGACCCAAAAAGCTTAGATCGGAATGATATCTTTGACTTTATCTCTTGCGTCACAGTCTGCACAGTTACAGCTTACTCTGCGCCTCCAACACCCTCGGATGCGCAACTCTTCCTGGCTTCAGTTTACTCCAATCCTCTTCATACCCTTCTTCGACATCAGGATACGGTCCCAACGGCGTAATAGCCAACGGATTGATACTCTCATGACTCTTTGTGTACTATTCAGAAACAAAAATTTTTGTCAGCAAACGCGCGCCCTATGCAACTCCACTCCAAAAGGCAAGCAACCCAGCAAGCCAGTCGAGAGATAGAAAGAAACGAAGAAGGAGAAGAAAAAGAAAAAAAGAAACTCACATTCTCCTTAATATGCCTAAACTCCGTCGTCTCCCTAAACCCCCGCACATTCCAATACAACCCCCTTAACCAATTATTCAGCACAGGATAGTCATGTCGTATAGACCCGAGATTTGTCTTAAAATGCTGCGCATACACCGTGTCGAAGCGCACAATAGTCGGGTAGGCAAAGAGATCGAGTTCGGAGATTTGGCTGCCGAGGATATACGGGCCGCCGTTTGTGTAAATGAGGGATTCGAGGGTGTTGAGGGCGGCGAAGAGGGGGATGACGTTGTCTTCGTAAGGGGTTTGGGACGGGGCGAAACCAGCTTTGTAGACGCCGTTGCATATGAGGTCTGTGAGCCAGGGTTTTATTTGGTCAATCTTGTCCTTGAACTCCGTGGGGTAGTAGTACAAGGTTTCTACAACAGAAGGCGGTGGCGGTGTTAAAGAGGCAAAAGCGTGGGGAAGCCATTTCACCATTTCGGCACTTTCGTTGCAGACTATTTTTTGGCCTTTCTTGTCCCAGATCATGGGGACGGTGTAGCGGCCTTCGTAGGCGGGGTCGTCGCGGAAGTAGATTTGGTGCAGGAATTGGCTGTTGAAGAGGTGGTCAGGGGTGCTGCCGGGGTAGCTGGCGTCGAAGCGCCAGCCCGGCTCGCCTTTTGGGTATGGGCGCACGATGGAGATGGGGAGGAGGTCTTGGAGGTTGAAGAGGTGCCGGATTAGGTTGGCGCGGTGGGCATAGGGACAGAAGAGACCTAGGGTTGGGGTGAGTTTGTGGGATGGGATGTAGAGTCGATTGATTGAGAATTTTGTTTCTTGGTAACCTTGGAGGTTTTTGACGAGGCTTACCGATGTAAAGATGGTATCGATCTTTTTCTGGGGGAAATTCGCCGCCTTCTTGGATCACGCCGTGCCAACCATCGTCAGTTCCATACTTGTGGATTGCGGGGTTGGACATGATGAGATGAGTTGGGATTTGACAAATGGAACAAGGTCTGATCTACGATATTTGACTTTAACCGGACAGATAATTTAAGAATCCTGTCAGGGTTTGGATATGCCTTAGTATACAGCTTGCAAAGGTCGGCGGACTGTAATGGTGTTGCAGGTATGGCGTTGCGGGGCCCCACGTTACCTATGTAGCTTACTACCCTTTACCGAAATCACCCCGAGCCTACTGTATCCAGACTTCATTGCTTGGTAAGATGCCAATTAATGACTGCTGGGCACGCGTATGAACATGTTGGTATAGTTTCATTAAATGAGCTCATAATCTACCGACACTAATTACAGCACTTCAACTCCTCACACAACGACCCACATGGGACGCGACACTTCTCTGTACTTGGACGCGCTGTGCTCGTTGCACTAGCCATTGCTAGAGTTACTCCTTCAGATGCACCTGGGGTATCCTCAAGTCTCTCCGTAGGTGATGCAAGCTCGGGCTGGAGTGTCGCAGAGTGTATGCCGTATGCGTGCAGGCATTCAGAAAAGATCTTTGCTTTCTCCATGAAGCTCGCAATGTCAGGATCACTGACCCTGACATGTGCCGATGCAATTGCCTTCTTTTGATCTAGACGCCAGACGTGTAACTCATGTACACCCAATACGCCAGGAATGGCTTCCAGATCGTGTTTGACATCATCGATCTTGACGCCCAATGGTGCGGATTGCAAGAGAATCTTACCGCTCCGCTTCGTAAGAGGCAGCGCAGAAAGGAAGATCATAATGGCGATCCACATACTGACTGCCGGATCGGCGTAGAAGCGGTTGGGTGACTTTACGAACCAGATGATTACAGCTGAGATGATGACACCGATGTTGTTGATGGCGTCGCCAATGACGTGAAGGAGAACAGCAAAGATACCAAGATCCATGCCATGTTTCTTAGGTTGGATGACTAGATGCAAGTGATTGGCGTGTGTTGGGGTAGATAATCGAACTTCTCCATCGCTGTTGTTGCTGTGACCATGGCCGTGATCGTGGTCATGATCATGCTCGTGCAGGAACAAAACACTGATGATATTGAGAAACAGTCCGATACATCCCACGATTAAGATTAATTTTGGGTTGTCGACGTGTTCAATGGTGATGAAGCGCTCGATAGACTGTAGGGCGATGCTGAGGCCTAGGGCTAGTAGAAAGGCGCCGTTGAAGAAGGCACCAAGTAATTGGGCACGCGCCCAACCAAACGAAAGGTCTGCAGGTGATGTCTTGCGCTCTGACACTTGGACTGCCACCAGGGCTATAATGAAACCGATCAGGTCGTTGAGCTAGAGTGAAGTTTAGATATTTGTACGAGCGAGTAAGATAAGAGCATGGTGTATGTTCAGGTGAACAGCCCCAGGTCTCAGTCAAACTTACGTAGTGAAAAGCGTCTGCAACAAGGGCTAAGGAACGAGTATAAAAGCCGACTGATATCTCTGCCAAGAAGAAGCAGAAAGATATCGCTATAACGGCCCGAAGGCGTGTCTTCCGAGTGATGCTGGGCATGGCGTAGAGGGGAAATTGATGAGGAGACAATCAAAACTGCTTAGAGAAGCGCTTTATCAACAAGAAAGGTAAGCGTAGTGGAAGTAGATGTGAATGAGGAAAGCAGGTGTGCGCAGCACCAAACTAAATGGAAGTAAAGGCAAGTAATATTGACAACAATTCGTTGAATTTAACAATCGCGCAACACATAGTTCATAAGACATGTTTCTCTGTTCTGTAACGTCGAACTCGGTGACAGATCAATCCCGGTGACAGATCGAATTGCTGGATTGCTGTGTTAGGTGTGACGGGGCTGCAGCCGTCCCAAATCTGCGACAGTGGATAGTCATCGCAACAGACCACCGTGCTTGTCACTCCTCGGAAGTAACGTGACGCCACTGCTGTCATTTTTGACAGCAAGTCAGACGACAACTTTAGCTGATGAAGGTCAATTCGTTACGCGCCCTGTAAGAGATGGATTGGCCTTCACATGATAGCGCGGTGAAACTAGCCAGATACAGGCTAGCGCCGGGATATCAATCACCGCCTTTGTCTGGTTACGGCCTGGACCCTCCCCGCCGCAGCAAAATATCTCGCAGCGACAGTTGGGCTTCACTTGGGCAACCTTCCATCTTTGGTCACTCTCGAAAACCAAATCTGCACTCACACAACTAGCCATTAATTACCGTTAGGATAACACAAAATGGGCAACGGAGCCAAGTACGCGACTGCCTTGACCAGGCGTGATTAGAGGGGCAGTAACTAACGAAACGTTAGAGCACAGCAGAAGCGCGACCGCAAGGGCGACTCAGGCCCCAAAGAAGCCAAGAGTCAACTGAAGGCTGTACGTACCCCATATTCTTGCACGATTTTGCGACCATCACCACAGGCTACTCTTGTTGCAAGTTGGGTTGCTAACGCGCCACCAGAATGCCGCCGCCCAAACCATCAAGTGCAAAACCTGCTTCCAGACCTTCCAGGGCACCACGAGCCGCAAGATGTTGACCGACCACGCTACCAACAAGCATAGCAAAGACTTCGGTGACTGCTTCAATGCGGATGAGGGTGTTGTGAAATAAACGGCACGCATTTCCGTCGAGCGACCGGACTCACGAGTGAACGAGAACGATCACACACATTCTACCATTTATGCGAGCATGAGATACCATAAGCGAGGAGTTGAAACAGGGGACGAGCATTTATGGCGAAATGAATGAGACTTATTGTACAGGCGTAGGGTGTGGAATTCAAAATACTGATCTTTTACTTCCGAATGCTCATGGCTCTGACAATGCGCCTTTTATTGCTGCTGAATTATCGTTTTTCAACTTCACCCACTGTGTCAGGTTAGGAATCATAGACTCTACGAGTCACAGAAACATGAAGTCGCAGCATTATGATCAACGAGAACAGGTGGAGGAATAACTATCTAGAAGACTAATAGCCGGTGTTCAGATTGTCACGGATATATGGAGGAGTGGGTCTGTCATCATTACAGGGAAAGCTCAACTCTCCTGCCTAATACGGCGTATGACCCGTACCATTCGATGGTGATGCCTTCCGAGAAAACCGAAAATACAAGCATTTTGGAGGGTTAGTCATCATGTAAAAAAGTTATGACTAGGCCGTTGAATATCGAAGGATGAAGCAGTTCACTAAAAGTATCATCATCCAGAGATTACAATACTTCATGCCTCTACCTCATTAGGGGAAACCCTAGCACTCCTGGAATTATAGAGGTATAGTCTGGAACAAGAAGTGATATAGCTAACGTAAATGGAGTCTTGTTATGCAACCACCACTCTACAACTGCTACGTTCATTTTCTTTGATCCTTAGTGATTTTAGATACCCTAGCCTTAAACTAATAATCCGGTTTAAGGTAATGCACTTAAACTACGTACGTTTTGTCTGTGCCCGGCAGTTCGTAAATCCACTGCTTCTACCCCGCCCCACCCCACTATCCTCGGAATAATTTTCAACACGGCACAAACGTAGTCATTTCTTCTGACAAACCAATATCGTAACTCCACCACGGTTTAGCTACTATATGGCTGTTTTGTTCAGTCTATAAATGTACAAAGCTGCAAGTCCTTCATCAAACAACACAACACCGTCTCCTTAGCTCAATTGGGAGAGCGCCAGACTGAAGTCTTCGGTCATTAAATCTGGAGGTATCGTGTTCGATCCACGAAGGGGACATCGTGCCTGAGCTTGCTCAGGGTTCTTCGAACCATTCTTTTTGCGGGTGTTGCAGACATCTAGTTATGTATCTTCACATTCTTTTTTGTTTTGTTCGTATCCATTTGTGCATGAACCGAGGCTAAGCAACAAGCCACTAGCTAGTCTTCTCTTTTCTTTTTTTTAATCCCCAATAAATTCTCCACGACTGCGTATTTGTAGTGGTTGGGTCTTCTAAAGGCGTTAAATGTAGATACTGTTGTGAACCAAGTGTACAGTGTATGAGCGGCAAAGTACCGACATAGGCATGTGTCCCTCGTTAATATGAGCACCTCTATGTCATACATATAATTCTCAGTGGTATATAGCTACATGGTCCTGGCTCTCCATATCCTATCATCCGAAAACCCTTTTTTGGTTGAACATTAAGATCGGTGGCGATCAGTTCAACGTACGCTCTATTTGCCATGACTCAAATGGCCAAGCGGTTGTTTCCAGTCCATCCATGCCACACTCCACCAATCTCCTTCGCGATATCCTCTGCAGTCCGACCCTGTGCATCCTTCAGGCTCCTGATATCGACCTTGTCCTCCGTCAAACCCCGCATGATACCCATGGCCTCTGCTTCCTGGAAGACCTCTGGTGGGAATTCTAGCAGAGGATAGTTACTTGCGAGCAGGAGGAGCAACCAAGCTACCTCTCTACTCTGTGCATGTACCGCCGCATGTAGACCAGACTGCATATCACCAATTGGATCTTGATACCTCAGTACCCGGTCGATGCCCGTTTCCTTCTCAGGGTCATCTGTGGTGCTCATAGAAACATCTCCTTGCTCGTCCTCATCTTCGTCGTCCGAACTATCGTCCAGCAGCAGCTCGATGATAGCCTTGTAGTCACCCGCACGACAGAACTCGAGGAATGCGCGGGCCTTGCGATCTTCGGGGTACGCTTTGAGGTAGGATTCTTCTACGAGTAAAGGTAGGATATCGAGGTTTTCTTGGACTCCACCTTCGTTGTTGAGTCTGCAGAAGACTTTTTTCGTGTTGTCTTCGGTGACGGAGATTTCTTTTGAGCAGTTGGGGCAGGAGGTTATTTCGTAAGCTGAGAGAAGGCAGTCCCTGAGGTTTTTAAGATTAGCAGTCACATGGATTTTTTGAATCGTTTGCTTACCAGTGGAAGTGACATCCGCAGGACAATTGGACATCATCTGGGACAGTTTCTGGGGCGGGCGCAGGTGCTTTGCCCGACGAAGATGCTCCGCCTTCGTACTCTTCATCCTCGTCGCGCTCGACTTCTACCTCGAGAGGATTTTTGCAAATTACACAGCCAGACATTCTTTTCCTTTTGCGATTATTGTATTGGGGTTTGTAAGAGATTAGTGTTGGTGAAATGTTTGGCGGGGCATTAGCGGGGGTTTGGACTTTTTTGTCGCTAAAAAGCGAAAGATTGGTTCACGCGTCACGCGTCTGGAATTTGCACAGACGTCATACTATGTTGGAAAAGCATCTATTAGCGACCTTACTCATTGAAAGAAGCAGAATCATTCCCTGGTAATAGTGCGTACAATTACAGCAATTTGGAGTAGCTGGCCCTCCTCCATAGCGATAATGGTTCTTTGGGGCATTCGGGCTTCTCTTCGCTCCCGTAAACCTTTGGTTTTCCGTCGACTCGTTTCCGGAGTGCTTCACCCACAGCCACCATCCTGTCTCCTAGCCGCATAACCATCTCCTGAGGACTCATCCGATCTTGTCTGGGATCGAGGCGGTCTTCAAAGTCGCTCTTCGGTCCCTCGTACCTACAAGCCATGGCTATCTCTGCATGCGTTGCTGGAAAGATGTCCCAGTCGCCATACGAGGTCCACCGTCCGGCAGTGTCGTTCCGCATTTTTTCAGCTTCCAAATCCCGGTAACGCTGAACGATTCTCTCGATTCTTCTCCTGTTCTTGCTGCTCCTTGACTGTGTGAAATAGTCGGTGTACAACTTGCTCCAGTCCACCAGCAAAACTCCGTCTTCGGCATGCCAGTACCAGATAGCCTGGTTCGACAGCTTGAATGGCCAGTATGATCCAACACTGACTGTAGCATTACACCTAGGGGAGGTTGCAGAAAAGAGACGTGATAAGCATCCAACCCGCTGCTGATCTTGTTGCCAAGTGTCTGACACCGGAGCCTCCTGTCCAACTGAAAATACCGCCAGGTTCGAATTCTCGGACAAAACGCGATTGAACTCCAGCTGATAGTTGCCATTGGGAGAACCAAGATCGGATGTGATTACGGTATGCGGCAGATAACACATCGGGTATCCACGAATAGTCGTCGGTCGCGTCTTGCAGTCATGTTTGCGGCCACCCGTCTCAGTCACAATATGCTGACAGGCGTTGCAGAAAATGCCGGGGAGATCTGCGAGTGACCCTGCAAGCGACCTCTCAAAATCAAATCTCCCTAAAAACGAAGTGGATGGCATGGTGGTAGTTGAGTCGGGTGGCCGTGTGCAGACCTGAGACACCCATGATATTTAGAATCTTCTCAAAAGCTATAAGCTCTGACTATTTCCAAAACTTTGGTACAGAGGGTGTGGCCGATACGCAGGGTTCTGCTTGCTTTCACGCGTTACCAGACTTTCATTGCCATAGCAATCGTGACGCTGCGCTGTACGTGGTCTTACTACGTACCAGGCCAGCCCCCCTCACGGTATCGTAGCATGACGTGGCTATCTACTCTGTCTTTACGCGTTTTTGGGATGAACGCGGGGTGCTGGGATCGACCAATGCAGGAAGAAGAAAGGAGTTGCTGTTTCCATCAGATCTTCTCTTTCGCGCCTTAGCCCATACCCATTTCTTCAAAAAGCAAGCACGTTATCTGGGGCGGTCCATCTCCCGGCTCCTCCCACTGGTGGAGTCAAAGGGAAAAGCATTGTATGATGCATCCGTGTACCTGAGGACCCGCCCTGTTGTCTGACATGCACATCACAAAATACCATAGCACAACACGGGAAGGGTTTTGCTTTTGGAGAAAACCCCCCAATCAAGACGCGAGCGCATTCTGTAAACCAGATCGTGAAATTACGCTATCTGCTCTAAGGGACTGCCAACTCACGATCAACACCGTCTTTCCATATGATCTCGTGCCTGCGCAGCGTCATCGCGTGCCGGATGCCGCCTCTAAATCAACGAAAAACACAGTCGTGATAGGTGCCCGCACACATGTTTCCAACACCCCTATCTCTCTCACATGGCCACGCATGCGTGGTGCTAGCCTTGCATGACCCAACATTCACAGCATCAATGACGACACGCTCATCAACAACAGGCGTCAGAAAGCAGGGCGATGCTGGTGTCTGTAGGATGCCGAGTGGGCTTCCTAGCAACAAGCGGGAGTGAGATGCGTGAATCCGATCATAAATATTAGTTTAGAACTACCCGGCTACCGTTCCAGCCCGGCCATATGCTCGATCAAACGCTTTCCACGTTCCACTCCACTCTTCGTCTGCCCTCCGCTCTTCCTCGACCATTTCCTGGATGCTTTCTATGCTCCTCGTCTGGGGTATTGGCCGGTTCTGTACCTCTGTCATATCAACACTCTTGTTCTTCTTGGCCTTTTCGGCATTGAGACGGCGGATGCTGTCCTTGTTCTTGATCAAGAGACGTTGCGATGCGGTCCTCCATAGGCCTTTTGAGCTACCGACGCGGTGTTGAAGTGGCTTATCCCAATCCTGCTCCCATCCCCTTACACTTTCGGTCAACATGGTGTTCAAGGCGACGTGAGAGTGAATTGAAGGCGGGTAGCAAATCCGTGCTCCGGTGCTCATTTTCCCGTGTGGAGATGCTGTACTATTTACTGACGGCGAAGTTGGGCTGTATAGATTATCTGTGCGGTTGGGACGTCTTTGGCCCGATCGAGTAGTGAGGTCTGCAGCAGAGTCGTTCCTTAGTGTAGGTGATCGTGGTGAGTCTCTGTGGAATACTTGTTGGGCCTGGAACGAATCTAGCCACGAAAGCACTGATCGAGGGCCAGGCAATGGCTCTTCTCCTGCTCCTCTAAGATACCCCCTCGTTTTCTGAACTGGTGTCTCGGGGATGTCTGATTCGCGGGGCGTGTAACCTGGACTTCTTATAGGAGACTTGGCTGATCGTGATGTTGGGCGGCCTCCGACTAACGAGCTCACGCTTGCATTTACAAGCCGAATGGTCTTTTCACGGCGGAGGTTATGCCGAGTTGTCGGTTGAAGCTTGCCTTGCGAAGGCAAAGCCCAATTGGTGCTCGTGCTGGTCGTTTTCGAGTTCATAGTCCCTGTTTTCCCGGTGGTGGATCTTGATCTTCGGATAGATAGTGTATGTCGTGACATGTGGTTCGCAATGCTTGTACGGTAAGGCGGTTGGATTGATTCACTTTTATCCATGTATGAAGCCTTCTTTTTGCGGCGTGGGTGACATTTGGTTAAACAACTCCCGAGTTTCTTTGCCCATAGCAGGATGTGAGACTTGCGCTTGGACTTCGTCATACGGTCAGTTGAGTCGTCAGCCATATCCTCGCTCATAGTGGCGATCGTAGTATCGTTCATGTCGTCGTTCATGTTTGTCGTAAAGGAATGTATCGCTTGTTGTATACTCTGCGTAAAGATAGAACTGATGTGTCGCAGGTAGCGAAACGAAAAGGAGTTTCTGGATGGGATACGAACGAAATATGAAACGGAACGAAAGGAAAAGAAAATAATGTTTTCGTCCGTGTTGAAGGTTGTGAGACGCACGACCAGACAACAAGTTGATGGTGGAGTGGGAGCTATGATCACGTAGCAACGTGATGCTACATTCCGCAAGCACGTTGGCATATCCAGATGGTCTGATGATAGTGCGCTATCCTTCTATAAACCAAGTCCAAGAGTCATTTCTGGCTGTCATCTTTTCCGATATAGACGCAGGGAGAATGCTGTACCAAGTTTTGGCAATTAGGTAGTCGCAAGTGAACCCCCCTTCACCCCACCATCATGAACCACTTGGTCCAGTATGCAAACTGTGGAGCAAACTGCAGGTTTCCGAACGAGGCTGTCCCATGCATTCTGCACGAGCATTGTTGGGTAGATCGCTCTTGCTAGTAAATTGAGGGGTAAATGCGCTCTAGCAATCTGCTAGAAATGCATGTGTATGTGCCCGTCTGTTGAGAGGGTCCGCGTTTCGCTGGCTGAAATGCTAATGAAGCACTGATCTCTCTGTCGATTGTTCTTCATATTTCGGATAAATAGATCACGCTTTACATGTTGCTTTTGCGGCTGATGACCGGGCGATCCGCTTCGCTGCCAAATGTCCGCGGAGCGGAAAAATGAAAAAAATGCATCATGCTTCCCATGGCATTTCTATTCCTCATGGCAACCCTTCATTTTCTACTGCCTCGGCGGAAATTTTCCCATGCAGAAACGCATGAAGTTTCTTCCGCTTCTGTAACAGCTCATTCCCAACTTGCATATTTCCAAGATAACGTAGACAATGAGTGTGAGTGTCAAGCCAACGCTCAGGAGTACGGCGCTTGTTGCGAAGAAACGGAGTAAATGAGCAGCAAACCCAAGACACCTAAGTATTCGACTCCTCGCTCTTTGTCGTTTTTGTGTTGCAAAGTACCACATCACGAATTCTTCTTGGCGTGATTGCAACCCCGAGGCCGAGTCTGCCGTATGCGGTTGTATTCGTGGTCGAATCGCTTTGCTCTTACACTTAACGCCTTGTGCTTCCTCGCCTAGGTGAATACGAATCCTCGGCTCATAACTCGTGACCAAATTGCACAGATCTCCAAAAATGACCTTGGCGACCGTCGCACGGTCGCTTAGTAGGGCAACGCGTACGTTCTTGGCGTCGGGAAATAGCCATGTGATGGGGTTGCATGCTGTATGTAGACAATGGCGTCCTAGACTGCACCAGAAGCAGCACCAGGAGATGTAGATAGTGCTCTCGGAGAAGACCTTTCGTGGCAGTGCTTCTCTGGCACATATAGCTAGGAGGCGGGAAGTGGGACGTATGTTGTGCCAGAGATCGTGCGCAGAAATGTGTCCGCAGATTTTCAAGATAAGTTCGGTGGGAAGACGGTTAAAGCTTGAAGTCTGAGGTTGCTTGAGAGTACGCATTTCTTCGAGTCGGCTACTCGACTGGGAGTCTCTCCGCAGTGCGTTGCGGTAACTTGACGGCCACAAGGCAGAAGTGCTCATGATAGGTTCGGTGTGCGCTGAATGTAGGAAATGCGCTCCAGGTTAGGTACACGAGAGGATGAGGAGCCATCAAGATAAGTATTCTCAAGTATGGGCTGATGTGAGCAGCCGAAAGGGCTTGCGTAGGGCGCCCCTCGCAAACTGTTCGGCGCTTATAGATGCGTTTGGGGGCGTGAGGCCAATGGACATCGGACCTGAATGTTAGCTCATATGGCGGACTATATAGTAGGATTCCCTAATCAGCAATCAAACACTTGTAGACATTGTTTGAACTTATAAATGCCGAGAGGGTAGTTTACCCATCTTCTAGGTTTCCTCTCCGCTGTCACAACGTGCATAATTGAACTGCTTCAACCAATCAATATCTTCGATCCTTTGTACTTGACAAATAGCACTAACCAAAAGAGTAGTTGCGGGGAATGTAAGACTTCTATCGACCTTGATTACCTTAATTGGCCGAATGCCTTATCACGCGTACTTGACTGAATGATCGGGATAAGAACTAATCGAGTTAGCGAGAATTGCTAGCCGATTGCGGCTGCTTTCCGCTGAACACCGACCGACCTTTGTATCGGCGCGAGCTGAACCTCTCTTTGATGTTGCGTATAGCCTGTTAGTATTGTCCCGAAAACTCATCAGCTGATGAAGGGGAGTGGGAAGGGGAGTGGGAAGGGGAGGGGGAAGGGGGCGAAACCTCCACAGGGTAACCACTGCTTGGAAGATGCAAGGCTCCAAGTTCGTCAGTCTTAACTCATGCATCTCTCATGTACATAGGCGGATCACATGCTAGAGATTACTATGGAAATGGTTTTGTTCTGGAGTAGTAAGCCGGGGTTTTCGCAATATCCACACAAGCACGCCTACTTAGGTGTGCCCATTGCCGCGCTTTTCGCGATTCTCTCATCTGCAAGGTTTCATTTATATCAACTCCGTCAGGTCACCCACAGCAACAAGAACCCCGGTTGCGATTGGACTGTGTTGATAGGCAGAAATCCCATTAAATGAAAAACGGCCTTTGCGGATCGGATGGCGATTGAATCAATTACCGGGGTAAGTAGAGTCTGTCGCCGTGGAAAATCCCCATTTGGTATGACACCGGCTCTCGCGCATATGACTAGTATGAATGCATACCTGGTGATTCCCGTGCAACAAAAACGGCCACTCTATTACTCCGAAGATGAGGCCAGGCGAGATATAACAGATATGCTGGGCATTATGATTACTTCGACCCATCGGAACCTTGCGCTTTACTCTTGATCTCGGCTCGCTAATCGGGTGCACGGCATGCATTCAAAGCGCACCCTACATACGTACACACCCAGGAAAACTGCAATAGGGCATTGTAATACCACAAGCAGATATCAACACGTCAGCCTTACTGCCAGCAATGCGCCTGGCAACAGAATACACGGATGTTGAGTGGCTCGGAGACGAGGGTGTTTCAGCCTTGTAACGGCCGCGAGCCTTGTCGCCTCAGGTTTGTCTCAGTCGCAATCACGTGGAGCAGCGAGGTCCCCAGCCACTCCCGATTTTACGGACAAAGAGGAATGCCAATGTGTAACATGACGCTTCCCATGCTGCGCATCATACAATTCTGGGGGAGCAATATCAGACGCACCGATCACTCGTTGTACTGTGGTTGTTCGAACTGATTGCGCCACAAACTACAAGGTGACAACAGACGGCACAGTGTGAACGCCTCGACACCAATCCTCGACAAAGACGCTTGTACTAGTACGTATCAGCTACCAGAGTCTTGCGCCGAGAGTCCAGGGCAAACTCGTATTTCCTGGCCTAGATTCATTGTTACCTGCAGGGTCAGGCACAACCAGCCACAAGGGATGTTTCAACCCCGCGAGCACTGCAGATGGCATCAAGACAGGGCATTCGGCTAGCGTGACTCCGAAGCACGGTGTCATGATGTTGACGTCTATAATCATGCTCTGTCTGCTGTCAGAGGTGAGATCTCTGCTTGCGTTTGCCACACATACTTTCTCCAACTTTCTTCATTTCTCTTTCTAGCGCTCTGGAAGCCGCTGCCAGCTGGACTGTGCATATTACTGTAAATTCTTCTTTTTTCGGAGTTTGCATTTTCGTTTTTTAATACCATAATGGGGTGCGGCAAGTCTATTTTGATCACTCTCAGGGCTCTGGCCTTGATTGTCGTTCTGGGAGTCACTGGATTGGGCGGTTGGTGTAAGAACAACTCTGGTCTTCTGGATAAATGAGCCGGATTTACTAACAGACCGATGTAGCCATTTTCACTATTCGCGATATCCAGGCCCGTAGTGATGCGATTCTCGATAGTGTTGAGTTTGGATCACAAGAGATGGAACAACTCTGGGCGAGGTTTTTCGATGCTGTGATCAGCGGCGCAATCAGGACATGGATTTCCATCGGTTTAGTACGTCTTTCGATTCTTTGCTGAAACCACAATACTGACGATATAGACTGCTCTTGCTTCCGTGATCAGTATCGTATTGGTCTTCGCAACAATTCTGCCTCCCATCCGAATCCGCTCGGCAATCATGGTCCCCTTGGAATGTCTGGGAATGTGCGCTGTTGGAGCAGCAGTTGGTATCTCTCTGAGTTTCGCTTTGAGCGTGAATGCTTTCGGCGCGAGAGTTCTTGATACATCCGCTTCCCCAGAACTCAGGAGGCTCGCCATGCTGGTAGATCTCAGTATGGTTCACTTCATCACAGCCGGTGCCGGATGGCTTCTCTTTCTGATCGCATTCATCGTCGCCACTGTAGATGCATGCAGACGCGCTCGAGAGAAGGAAAGCTGCTCCTTTGAACCAACGGCATCTGCGCTTGGAATATCTCACGGATACGCCACGACTTTCCCTCCTCAGTCGCCCTACCGTATGCCAAGTATCTACGATCCGGAAGTAGCTCTGAACATGAACGATGCAACAGCCTCAGCATGGAACATTTCTCAGGCCAAAGAGTCGGTGGGGAGGGATCCAGGAATGAGCCGTGCAGAGTCGATTGTGAGCCAGGAGGGCAGGTTGTCAATCGGATCTGATATGAGTAGTATCTCCGGTCCTTTGGGTCTGCAGAAGCCAGAACGAGCACAGCCAGCCCGGCCAGCCCGGCCATCAAGACCATGGAGTGGAGCTTCTAGCATAAGGAGTGGAGTCTCTAGCATCAAGAGTGGAGTCATACACGCAATATAAAACGTGCATACGCTCCCAAAAAACAGATGATAGATTGACGATTTCCTACGCTCGCTTCCACAAAATAGACACATTCGCTTCGCCCAACTGAGAAAACCATGCAGTGATAAACTTTGAGAATGCAATCATGTGATCGCGTCTCTAGCGCGTTTTTCTAGCGCGTCAAACCACGCCCTGCGTCATCGCCATCGATAGCGCCCTCACCCACATTTCACGTTGTTGCACGCACTTTTCCCCATATCACAGCAATGACAGGATTCAAGCGAGGCGGCGCTCGAGGCGGCTTCAAGAAAAGTTTCAAAAACAAACGCTCTTCTCCTGATGACGACGACAGCGCGCCACGTGCAAACAAGAAAGCGAAAGGCGATGAGGATGATGATTCGCTTCCCGTTGTACCTGAACTTAAGACGGATGATAACGGTGATGCGTTTGTTGCTGTACGTGATACAATTGGCTCAGTGTATGAATTCTTATTTACGAGAATCATAGTTAAATAGCAGTGGCAAGCGACGCGTGACTGTTAGCGATTTCAACAAAAACACTTTCGTCAGCATTCGTGAATACTATGTCACCGATGCTGGAGAGACGAAGCCGGGAAAGAAAGTAAGTTTGTTTCTCATCTATCAGTGTCTTGTATGTGAGATTGCAGTGCTAACGGAACTAGGGCATCTCTCTTTCCATTGACCAATACAATGCACTACTCGCTGCTGCTCCGCTCATTGAGTCTGCGCTGGCGAAGAAGGATATTAAAGTGATACGGCCGGATTATGATGGCGATGCTGGTGCAAAACCTGAGACAAAAGAGGACAGTAAGGAGGAAGAGGAGGTTGCTGAAGGAGAGACGAACAAAGAAGACGACGACGAAGAAGATGATGATTGATAGGATACAAAAACTGTGGGGAGCATTCAAAGTATATCGTAAGGACTGCGAGGAGTTTTCGGCGCAATAGTCCCTGGTTGTGGAATCAGGATATAACCTCACTGCTTTCTCATATGGATACCGGGAGAGAAATAGGTAATTCAAAGCATCGTGTATTATGACTCTATCAAGTCTGTCTTAAATGATTGGGGTTTGCTAATCCTACGAATCTTCTCTAAGAACACGATTACTGCAGTTTTCTCAATTGTTTATAGTTTACAGCTGGAATGCGATAAGCCTTTTATGGCCCTCACTCCATGAACCCCACTTTTACACAGTCGGTGAAACGAAGACCCTAGGCTATAACAATTAACGTCCTATATTGGTGGCGTAGATAGACGTTTGCTGGAGGAATAAGCTTTTTCTCAAAGTATGTTTGCGCCAGGTGTGTTCGTCTTGCCATACCGGGCATTGCACTAGGGCCGATGGCTTTTAGGTCCTTCCTAAGCCCAAAGGTATAACCCTTAGAGAAATAACCAGCATCGCTGGTGACAAACTAGCTGCAGAATTTAGGCATAATGAGAGCAAAAAAACCAAGTGTATGGAGAGATTTGGTTGTGTGTATAATAGTCTTGGACCTACATGAGGCGTAACATATCAGAATGCATTTGTGGTAGGCTGGAGTAGGAAAAGACCTGCGTGGCTTGGGTACGGCTGAGCAGATCATAGCAGGGCTGAACTTTTCAGCTCAGTAAAAAGTAAAACGACAGGCATTAATGTTTCGGTATTGGGTGATATTCGAGAGACGGTCAAGGGGAGCGCGCTCGGTATGGGAGGGGCGAACGTGCGTCTCTTGTGCGCGAGTGCCTCCTCTCTCTTTCGCCGGATGCCGAACGCCGGCGGTCGCGCTTTCGGTGACGATCTCGAGAATTCTCACTTTCATCTCGAGCTCGTTCTGATCGGCGTCGACCATGTCTGTCTTCTGAGCGATCTTTGCTCCTCTCACGACTCTTGCTCCGATGTTCCTTCCGCCGCGAGCGCCTATCCCGCTCATCGTGCTCTCCATGTTCCTTAATTCGCCTTCTCTCTCTATCACGATCGCGGTCTCTTGATCCATCTCTCCGGCTGTGCCTATCCTTTCTCTTTGCTCTCTCTTTCTCCTTGCGCTTCTGCTTCTTCAGTCTTTTGATTGCATCGTCCACCTTTTCTTGTTGTCGCTTGATCAGGGAGTCGCGTATTGGGTCTTCTTCATCTAGCTTGTCCATGAGACGACCCAGTTCAATCTCTTCAGGCAGGAGCGGTCGGTCTTCGTCCGAGTCAGATTCGCTTTCAGTCTTGCGCCGCTTCCCCCTGCCATTGTCAGACTCAACTCCTGGATCGATATCGAGCTCTCCCATGGTGTTGTCCCTCATGTCCTCATCGTCCTTGGGCTTGTATCGTGCATGATCCACTCTGATAATTCGATCCATAATACTGGCACCGCCTAGATTGTCGACCGCCAAGTCGCAACTCCGTTGATCCTCATATTTGATCCATGCGAAGCCCCTCGACTTTCCTGTCTCTTTGTCGCGCGCGAGCTTGATCCATACGGGTTCACCGTACTGGGAGAATATGGTAATGATGTCACCCTCAGAGAGTTCAAAGGGAAGGCCGCCAATGTAGATGAAGGCGGTGTCGCGGTAGTCGGTATGCCAGGAGCCTTCAGGACTGATTCCAGCCTCGAGTTCGCGCTTATTCAGCTGCTGAATCGCGCGGATAGAGTTCATGGTGAGGGTTGGTTGTGAGTATGGTGTCGTGTGTTCGGAGATGAACTTTTGGAGAAGCTCGGGCTGGGCTAGGAGCAGCATCCCTGCAGAAAAGGTACCCACGACGTGGAAACAACTACACCAACACCAACCCCGCAAGACACGCTCCCCGCCGCCGCATTGCCCCTTTCTCTTCCGCCACACAAATCCTGGTCCATCGTGAGTTGATCGCCCACACGACCAGAGACCGCAGCAGGCAGTACACAAGCCACCGTCCACACCACCTCCGCAATGGCCAGCGCGCGCCGCACCCCCAACTTCCCCACGCGCACCCCGGGCAGCAATGACCGTCCAGTCACGGCAGATGCAGACAGGGAGGAGATATGGAAGCCCATGCTGGACAACATCTCGAGCGGAAAGCGACTGCCGGAGAAGAGTTTGTTAGTGTTGGGTGAGGCCACAGAAAAGCGGTATAGGGGACAAAGCTAATTCGAAGGTGGCAGGCGGAACACCAGAAACACAACGAGACTTTCTCGAATCAGTTTCTACAGATTCTGCAAACAACCGGAGACCGCCGGATCGTGGCAGAAAGCCGCCCGTTGCCAATCAGTTCGCCCTGGGATACACGTACCAAGACGTCCTGGACACGGATCATGAGGGTATGTGCTATCAACGGAGTGCGCTACCTATTTTCCTTTGCTAACACCATCAGACACTCTCGCTCGCCTGTCGCTATACCTCCTCGCAAATCCTTCACCCTCCTTCACCCCACTAATCAAACCCTATCTCAATCCACGAACTCTCCCACACATGCTCATCGTAATACTTCTGGACTGGAATCACCCGTGGCTGTGGATACGCCAACTCCGCGACTGGATACGGGTGCTGAGATCCTTGATTGTCTCACTGGATGATGCGTCCAAGGTTGTCTTGGAAGAGAACATCCAGACTTTGCAAGACAAAGGTCGTAATCTGGCCACCGAAGGAAGCAGCCTAGAGAGCGTAAAGGTTCCACTCGGTCCCGGCGAGTGGGATGAGCCTCTCGGCATTCCTTTGTGTGTTGTTTGCCAGAATGCTGACAAGATCGAGACGCTGGAAAAGGAGCGGGGATGGAAAGAGGAGGAATTCGACTTCATCCTCCAGTACATGCGCACTATTCTTCTCAAGCACGGGTCGAGTCTGGTCTACACTATGCCCACGGCACCCGGTTCATTACAAACACTTATCCATTCTACTCTGGGAATCAAATCGCTACTGAAACAAGAGCAGTTGCGGCACAATGTCACAGACCGAGATCGAGTGTTGGTCCCTCCAAACTGGGATTCATGGGCAAAGATCCGCATTTTGCGCGAGGGATTCGATGTGGAGGGAATAAGCGAAAAATGGAGCGTTGATATCGACATTCCCAACCATATGCGGCCAACAAATGGCCAAGCAGCTGCCCCCGTTGAGGGAGAAGAACAAACAAACGGCGAAACAATGCCAACTCCAATCCCGGAGGAGGAGTACCAGGGCCCTACGGCGACTTCAATCTACGAGGAGACGATCCACAATCCCGAATCTGACTATGCATTGTCCAGCCTGTCTAAACAGGCCAACGGCCTCGAAGTGTCTAGCAAAGATCCGCAAGCCTTCCTCGCTGAGCAGGTCAACGTGCTTGAGCACTTACGACGAGAAGACGAAAGTGAAGCCGCCCTCAAAGCTGCACGCAAAGAACAAGAGCCAGTGTCGCGAGCCTGGGCCGATGATGCATCAGGCGTGGTTGAGGAGCACATCGGTCCTGTTCAGTTCAACATGGGTGGTATCCAGGTCAATGCTGACGAGATGGTGAAGAGACTACAGGTGAGTTGAAACTGAATTTGTTCTAATATGGTATTTCGGACAAAGAAAACTAACTGTATCCAGGACCGCCAAGCCAACCGAACGGACGATCCCGAAACCCCACCACCCAAGACTCAAGATACCAATATCAACGACAACGAGAAACTGCGATCTTTCTTCTCAAGCCTCGTCAACAAGACACCTTCAAGCACCCCACGCGGCTCATGAGCTTTTTGCAGTCAGAGAATCCATGTGTTTAAATGCCTGGTTGCATTCTTGCTCTTCGTCGTGTAGTTTTTTGTTTCCAATTGGTGTCTGTTGACTATGTCGTCAATTAGGGCCACGGGCTTTTTCTTCTTTTCTTAAGGTTACGATCGGCATCAGCATGGCTCTATACCCACTGTGTAAACTCGGTCTACAATACAATCTTTTCACATTAACCTGAAGTGTTTGGGATAATTGTATATTGTCTTGCTGTGAAGGCGAATTAGGCAAAACTGAGGGTAAAAGGAATACCAGAAGGGGCTTTGGAAGCATTGGGGTGTGATATTGACAATACTAGCTCATGCTGTTGTCCAATCATGAGTTTTGCTCATAACAGCAATGTAGCTGCAGGGCGACGTAAGGGTCCGCGTACGTCTAATAGCTCTCGGGTATAGCATGGATCTCATAACGTTTTCCTTCGTCCCAGTAGCCCGCGCCACACCCGCTTTGATCCGTACGGATCGACCAACGAGGATTCCAATTCTAGGGGCTATACCCGAGATTGCACGGTAGTCCAATCAAGGGGGGGCTACAGGACTAGGTCGGTATCACAGCATTTCAAGCTTATTTCGAGTACCAACGAAAGATCAATAGAAAAACGTACATGCATGCAGAATCAATAAATTCATCAAATTTCGTTTCCTACATCCTAAATTCAAATGCCAGCTATAGACCCAGGGCCACCCTTGGGCCAAAGCAAATCATGTCAGTATTCTACCTACGCAAGCTGCTGTCTCTGTCCCGTGACTAGAAAGGGTAAAAGGCGTTAGTAACATGCTTCAACGCTTTCATTCTTGCGGGGGAAAAATGGGGGTTAAAAAAACATACCAGGACACACGGCACCATCCCTAGCAGCCTCTACACTCGGATGCGTAGCAACCTTATCCTTGTGGTGTCCGACCGTCGCCTTGGTAACAGGGCAGACGTCGCCCTCGTTCGCTTTGAGCATATCCGGGTGATCTGGGGGTAAGACGGTAGTAGCTACACCAACTATGGGGCAGATAGCGTCGTCCATTTCTTGAGCGCGTGGCTGCTTTACGATATTGTTCTTGAGGGCGGGACACGCGGTTGCGGTCGTCTCGTTGGTGGGGACCGGGGGGTGTGAGTGCAGGTTGTGGTGGTGGTCGGTTGTTGCGCCTACGACGGGGCACTGTAGGTAAAAATGTTAATATAGAACTCGGGGTTTGGTTTAAAAGGGTGGCAGTTGATGGAGGGGGATTGCGTACCGTTTGGCCGTCCTTGCTGAGGTCTATGGAGGGGTGATTTGGAGGAAGCGTGTCATTCGTTGTTCCAATGATCGGGCACGACATTTTGGAGATGAGGCTGCGATGGGGTTGTTGCGGTGTTGTGGTATTGGTTGGTGTTTGTTGGGTACTTTGGGAGCTAATAGGTATCTTTGAGGAGGAAAGAGGAGAACAGGCTGGAAAAGAGGAGAAGGCAGCGGTATGGATATTGAGTTTTGATAGAGCTTGTCCATGCGACTTGTATGGTCCGGTTTGAAGCTAATTCCCCAGATTTACAGGGATTAGGCAGTTGACGTCGTTGTCAGCGTTATCGTCGAGCCGCTGATTGGGTAGATTGGCTGGGCCCGAAGACATCGCCTTGTGCAACCCTCCCTTTGTACGTTACGCATCACGTCATGTGGTCGGAGAGTACCGATTGATGTCTCGCATCACGTGCTGTCAGAACTGACGTACCCTGTGGTCTGTGCAATGCTGTAGCATAACAGTACTACTATTATGTCCGTATGTACAGTGCACTATACTTAGTACTCCTACTACGACTTACACATATCATGTATGGAAAGCAAAAAGTCGATCCCTATGTGAGTGACTCTTTATATATGCATTCGGTCTTATATAGCGCTGTGTAAGTCTGGTTGTGGGGAGGAACGTACACTTATATCTTCGAATCACTCTGTCCTCGTATTCGTCCTTGTTTTTGTCACCACACTCTCCAGCTGTTTCATCTTTGTCATCGGCACAATATACTACTCAAATACCCTTGCGCTAGTTTCGTCATTGAAAAGAACCTTACTTGAGACATTTGAAAGAGCTCAAGACTGAAGGGCACAATATCACGGTTCTTGGGGTCAGCACTATTTATTGCTCCGTGTGGATCTTGTAAAATTGCACCCATTATTTCTCCTCGTCGGACCCGACATCTCATCCAGCTCATTGCGAATAAATATCCCCGCCAACCGCGTTTGTCGGCCGTTGGTCCTTTTCGGGCCTAGGATAGGCTGTATTCTCTTACAGAATAAGCAGTTGTTGTGAGCGAAAGAGGGCTAACAAGTCCGCCAAGATAGGATTCAAGCACGTGTCCCCGTGATTTGCCACCTTTTAACCATGAATGGAAAGAAGATTGTTGTTATCGCCTTGACATGTACCAGTACTACTGAGCAAATCCGTCTCGCATGTTATGCTGTGGGACCCGGCGCGTATCTGCACACGGGCCACGATCTGTGCATTATCTGCGAAATATTCAGCAGAAAGAACACGACTTGTAAAGTTGGCCATGGAAGAGAAGGGCTCTGCGCTCAAATGCGATGTTTAGGTAATAAGACGTTGTGAAGTGTCCGAGGTACGGCCGGACGGTCAACATATCCCGGGGTTGATATTCCCTTACTTTAGCCATGTTGCCGTAGTACTAGGGCGATAGGCGAGGAAACTCATCTTGCTGCAACCATCTTCATCGCCCAAGAACAAATTCGCTACGTATGACAATGTAGCGGGGCGTTTTCGACTGTGAGTGACGCATATCGCGATAAGGACGTCAATGCGACTACCCACGTTTGGGGAAGGCGCCTCTATAATGCTGGGGAAGGCGGTATCCAGTTCCCATCTGCTGACCCAATTCCCAGAAAAACACCGCGGCAACTACCCCACACTCTTCCCCAGCCGGCTCTTTTGTTCCACTAATGCATGCATCGGTATTAAACTCGCCATCCATGAGCCGCATAGTGCCGGGTCAGGTGGAGCTGCTGTTAATCTATCCATTTACCGCCATTCGCTGTATGAATTAGCTTTATATGAAAACACCAATCTCGCACTCTACATTTTCGGAGGCTAACGGCCGTTCTTCCAGTGGTGTATGCATACAGCCGTAGCATGGGTTTCATATCTAATATCTAACATATTTGTTTCCGTCTGCACTTCAATCCATCTACCCAGGTTGCCGTACTGCTGTTCAGCTTGCAATTGACATTGACATCCGTCGTCAAGATGTTCGCTGTCCCTGTACTGGTGACTCGCAATGTGTAAGTAGAATATTCGCAGTGGATCCAATCTCAACACTAATGGATTCATAGGGTTGATACTCCATACAAAGGGGTAAAGGATGGAATGTCGCCTATTGCGCCATCCATCACATCCTCTGCCGCTTCAGATGACTCCTTTGGGTTTCTGGATCGGAGAGACTCCACATCCTCCACCGCATCGACTGCAGCGTCTTCCATGACTTCTGTTGTACAAGACAGCCCCCGCCCTAAACATCGCAAGACGCTTTCCAATGGATCTTTTACTCGCCGACTGCTCCAGAAACGTAAACCTCGACGGGAAAGTGCGCCCCTACCCACATCATCTCCTATCATAGTCCCAGCACCTTGCATGCCGGCACCTGTTGAGATTCCTCCGCCCCCACCTCCAACAGAAGTGAAAACCTCCGATCTTGTTGTTCAATGCCGAAGCCGAACGTACAACTGCGACCGGGAAATCATGTGCTACCACTCAAGATGGTTTGCCAGAGTGTGTGCCATTGTCATGTCTCCAGTACGCTGACCCATGCTTCTACTAAGATTTTGCTGACACCAGCAGAAATCATCAAGAGGCGCAATTGATTTAAGCGCAGATGACCCCCTTGCAGTTGCAGCAATGATGCAATACTGCTATCAACTAGACTACGACCAACTGTCCATATCGGACGACGAAGCACCCGAGCCTGCTACTCTGCGCTCACACGTCAATGTGTATATGCTAGCAGAGCGGTACGGGGTTGCTGGATTGAAAGCAATTGCTATGGAAAAGTTCAAAGATCTCGCAACTGTAGTGCTGAATGAGGACGGTCAAGAAGACCAGCTGCAGTCTGCAATTCGCGCTATTTTCGCCCCGGATCGTATCGCAAACGGGGATGAGCTGAGAACCGTCATGGTGAAGCTGTGTGCAGATCATGTGCAAGCGTTCATCCACGACACGGGTAAGAAAATGGCTCTCGTGTACGAGTCGATGGAAGAGTTTCCAGAGTTCAGAGCAGAGCTTTTTGAAGAGATGGGAGCTCGTTGGAGGGTTTGAGAAAATGGGCATCCGCTGTTGTGCTGCAAGCGATCGTTTGATCCCTGAGAATCATGGCAACCTCACCTTCACCGGGCTGCTCATACTTGGCGAGCTTGTCATTTCACTATGCGCAGTCAGATTGCTCCGTTCGCGTTTGTTTCGCGTTCACGTTTGATCAACACTTGCAACCCATTGACGAAGAACAGCTACTCTCCCACACTTTCTACAGTACACTTTGCACTGTAGCCCGCCATAATGGACCAGAGAGGAAGTAAGCGCGTCTATAGCAGCGCTTTTCAGCATTCCAACGACCAATATCGTAAAGCATTGCGTAGCGTCGCTGGCTCTTCTGCTACTTCTCGATCTTCTTACATACCTGCAGCCTTGTTTGGCACCGACAAAGAAAACAGTACTCCGTTTCTTGACACCGAAGCGGATGCAGAATTTCTGCAAAGTTCTCAGAATCATATACAACTACCGCTGGGCTCTTACTCCTTCGAATGTCAGCCATGCCTTCCATGTATCTCTCAGGTATTGGAGGAAAGTGGACAAGGCATAACCCTTCAGGAACCAGGGCAGCTTCAAATGGACTCGTCTCCTTTCGACTTCCGCTTGGACCTCAACTCCAGTTCTCCTCTTGATGAAATCGCGGGCTTTGGCGCTTACACTGGACCACCTATCTTTGAAGATACAAACACGGCATTTGTCCAACCTGGTCAGGATGGCGGATTTGCTTCGACTGCCCTGCACCTTCAGGACCTCTCACTGTACGACAGTCCAGAAACAATGTTTCCAGATCATTTCGAGTGGCCCATTGCTGCAGCCCGTACAAGCATTTCTACAGTCACATCAGAGTCCCTACAGTAGTAAGCAACCTCTCCCCTCCACCTTTACCCACATGTGCGTATCCTAACTCCAGCACAGCGCATTCCCCACCCTCCAACCCAACGACGTCCTCATCATCTTCGACAAAGGCCACAAGGTCCTGAAACTCGACAAGTACCTCCTCATGCTCTCATCCCGCTTTTTCGCCTCCATACTCACCGGCACATATGCCCCTGGCCACACTCGCTGTCTCCGTCTGCGCAACGACTTCCCCGGTGCCATAGCAGTCATGATCCATTTCCTGGAATACGGCATGTACGCACTCGATCCTGCAACGCGCACCCAGTACCCCAACTTGACGCTCTTTGATCTACATATCCATGCTTACGTTGTGGGTGCCAAGTACGACGTGCGCAGGCTGTGCGATTATGCTATTGACCAATATGTCGATATCGCACGCAGGATTCTGGGCACGAGCGGTGCATATGTCCACCAGATCACTGGCTTGGTGTCTCCGGGTGTCAATTCCTTTCTCGATTCACTCGTGCTTATCTGGCGGAATACGCTGTATAGCGAGGATGTGTTGCGTCAGGCGGCGCTAGAGCTAGTCAAGGCAAAGATACATAGGCTGCTCCGGGTCAGGTTCTTCCAGACCCTGCTGTGGGAATTGGGAGGATTTGGGAATGATGTTGTGGCTAGCTTGCAGGAGGATGGGTTCGATGTCAAGGTGTTGCCTCTCAGGGCTGGAATGCAGGAGAAGGCAGGTGTTAGTTTTGGTCGTGCATAAGTGTGTGGATCGGCTGGTGGTCTGTCTGTTTAGGGTGGTGGATATTATGGATGTTTGCTAGGCGTTGTTCAAAGTACTTATGGACGATGGGGATGGCACGGTAGTCTGTCTTTTGTAATAGTTTCATAGTCTACTAGGATAACATGGATGGAAAAACAATGCCACTTTGCCCATGTCGTGCACCGTCGGACAATAGGAGACCCGACACGAAGTTGTGGCTTGTGCTTTGGGACTTTGTGGTTGCTTGATCTACACAATACAATGGACTAGTCACGTGTAGTGGTTGTCAGAGGACGCGTGTTTATACATGCACGACGGAGATGGAGAGGTTCATAAGTATTCATAACATGCATCGTCTATGTATGTGGTATGTATGACTCCCGTGCACGTCCACGCTGTCGTCGCCTTACGGCTAGGCACAGAATCGTGACACGAGGGCCAATTTACTCTTCGCAATCCGAGTGGAGTTCGATCGTCCATGGGAGAGCAGGACGAGACCTCAAAGAAGATGGCGTGTCTGCAGTCGAACCGTGGATGGGGTTCTTTAGACTTTAATAAACTTGGTATGGGAGCCCGTGGCAACAACTGGGCCAGGCTTGCCGTCAACTAGCTTCCAGATGGTCACGCTGGTAAAGGCAAGGGTGCCGCCGACTTTGCTAGCCCTGCCCTCAATTTCTATAGTATCGCCATCCTTTGCTCCACTAAGATACGAAACGTGGATGTCAGTACTGACGCCAGTCTTTGAGCGGTTGTCCCAGCACGCGATTGCCAATCCTCCAAAAGCATCTACGATGGTAGCTGACACTGAACCGTGTATACTGCCATGGGTATTGACGTGGTTGTTGGTCAAGGGCAGCCGTGCACGCACGACACCCTTAGCCGCATAAGTCAGTTTGAGATCAGAAAGAAGAAACTGGTAGATCGGGCTGCTTGGCTTGCGGTCCTCCCAGAACTTGTCAACATGAGCAAGAGCTTCGGGGTCGTTGGGAGCGTCGCTAGACATGGCAGAGGATGGCGGGAAGGGAGCGCAAGATTTTCTGGGTGAGGCGGGGCAGGCGGGGGATTAAAATATGTTCGGATGGAATGAAGCTGGGGGAGATTTGGATGGAGGCCCGGGGCCGGGCCGGCGTTACTTTTTTGCGACCTCTACTGGTACGAGTGAAACGGCCAGGCGAGCCCCATGAGCGGTTCGGGGCCGCCACATACAAAGCATATCCAGTCTGCCGCGCTGGACTATGCTTCACGGCAGGCCTGGACACTTCCCACTACTGCAAAGCCCAATGTTCCCACCATGACCATGCCCGACACCGTTGACACTCCTGCTCCCCCGAACCCGCCCCAAACCGAGCTCGCAATCGAGCATGCCCATGCCACTGACTCGCCGCTGGACGGCACCGCTGCAACACCAGAGACGCCCGAGGCCGTAGTCGCGGCCTCTTTCTCCAAGGCAGAGCCCCAGGCAGAAGCCAGCATCGACCTCAAGGCTCTCACCGACCGCGCCTTACACTTCTTGGCAACGGCGAGCAATGAGACGCTGGGCGCTTGTCTCGCTGGCCTGGGCGCTGGCACCTATCTCATCCTTGGACGCGTCGGCCTGGTGCTCATAGGCGTCGTGGGCGGCGTGGTCCTACATGCAACATGGGAGGGCTACCACAACGACAGCCAGGGCGGACAGGGAAAGAGTGCCGAAGCCAGGAGACGCGAGCTGGGCGCCGACATAGCACAGCGCGTCCTCGATTGGCGAAACTCCCACTCTCTTCACGACACGGCCGAAAAGCATGATAGCTACGACCTCAATGTGCAGCTGTACTCGGGCAAGAAGCTCGACTACTCCGACTTCAGGCCGGAGACGGCGGCTGCGCTGACGGAGCTGACGGATGCAGTCATTCGTGACTATGTCAAGTATGTCCTCTGCGCAGTCTTTAGTAGATACAATTCTAATATACTGCAGGTGGTGGTACTCGCCCCTACTGCCCACCGAAGAATCCTTTCCCAACTCGTGCCGCCAGACCTTGACCGCTTTTGTGCTCTCCGTGTCCGCACATGTCTCCCGTAAGAGACCAGCAGACAACTTTGTTGACTTTGTGACGCGCTCCTCGTCCTTTATCATCATCCTGCTCCAAGAGATTGTCACCGCCATACAGGCGTTCCCCGGCGATTTTCCAACAGAGGCAGTTGATCTATACCTCAAGATGAAGCGGGACAGCACGCTGGCCAACATACTCGATCCAGACTACCAGATGAAGCAGTTCAGCGTAGCTGCAGAGGACATACTCCAGAACTATTTGGACCCAAAGACATACAATTGCGCGCCAGCACGCATCTTCTTGCATCAGATACTTGCCAAGCTTGTCCTGGAAATGATTGTCGTGAGCTGTTCCAAGCCCGAATGGATCAATGGATGGATTGTCCAACTCTTGGAAGCAGGTGAACCTGAACTTCTGAATGCCATCGATGCAGGCGTTGAGGGCTCATCTGGACAATTGTCAAATGCCCCAGTGGACGCAGAAAGAACACCACATAGCCGAGACATGTCTTTCGCTGAAAAGAAGGAGCATAAACGTGTCGTGAGCAAGGCTCAGGAAGCCATGGATGATGCCATGCGGGAAGCTCAGCGTTTGAGCCAGATGATTGCTGAGGAGGACGCAAAACGCCTCCAAGAACAGTACAGGCAAAGCGCATCCACTTCGACGCTGAATGATGATCAGTCCGAGAGCACCACTCAGGGCATCGTCACCCCATCGTCCTCAGGCAGCGATACACATCATGACTTTGAGCCGAACGACTTGGGTATCTCAGGTCTTTCTAGCCCATCATCACCTCCACCGAAATTGGCCGAGGAGCGTGCGAAAGAAGAGGAGGCGAAGCAGGCATTTACCAGCTTTGATCAGCTCGTGCTACCCCAGCCACCAACCGCATTGATGGACAATCCTCCACCTGCTGAAAGGCCGCCACCTTTGACACTGCACAACAGTATAATGTCAATTTTTGATGACAGTATGCCTGGTGAAAAGGGTAACATCAAGAGCAAGCCAACTGCTGAATACTTGATCCAAATCGAGCCAAAGTCCAACCACCACACAGGATGGATGACAGCACGCAAGTACAGCGAATTTGAGACTCTGCATGAAGTCATGCGTCGCATAGCAGCCATTACCGGAGCGACTGGGTTCAGTGAAGCACACCCCTCATTGCCAACCTGGAAAGGTCATACCAAGGCATCTCTTCGCGGAGAGCTTGAACGCTACCTCAACCACGCTGTGCAATACCAATCGCTTGCCGAAAGTGAGGGCATGAAACGCTTTTTGGACAAAGAACTCGGTTCTGGAAAGTCTCCTGGCGGCGGCTTCCCCGGAATGAACTGGGCAGGTCAGACTTTCGACACGGTAGGCAAAGGTATGCTAGGTGTACTAACAAAAGCACCTAAGGAGGTCGCTGGCGGTGGCAAAGCGCTTTTCGGTGGAGTCAGCGGAGTCCTGAACAGTGTGACGGCACCATTGTCAGGAAAGAAGAACCGTGATTCGGTCATCAACACTACCAGCACTCCGACTGCTTCTGCAAGCCCTGCTCTCAGCCGCACTTCAACTTCAACAGCGCCTACCCAGAGTCGAGATAGGGCACAATCAACAGTTTCTGAGCTGCCTACACATATCCGTTCAGAGAGTACCCTATCTCTAGTAGCAACAAAGCGCACATCGATGGATTCAGTGCGGGATCCAAATTCTCCTGTCATTGATCAACAACCAACACGAGAAGCTCCCATGGAACGACGACCTTCGACCAATCCCGAAGGTGACGGCAAACGCTCCGGTAGATCGTCGAGATACGGCTCAAGAACCAACAGTCGTGCTCCAAGTACCCATGGCAAGATTGAAGACCTCAGCCCCATGATGGGTGGTGACCAAATCTTGAACCTCCCGCCCATGCCCAGCGAGATACCAGACGATTACATGTCGCGTGATCCCCCAGAGCCCTCACACAGCCAGAAGCCATCACGAACGTCCATAGACTCTACACCTTCTCTACCCCGCCGCACCTCCACAACATCCATCACCCCATCATCACCCTCGAAATCTGCACTCAGGAGGACCCGCACAGAGCCAACCTACACACCCCTTTCCGAAACCGAAACAACCGTCGTGATCGAGCTCTTCTTCGCAGTCATCCAGGAACTCTACACCCTCTCCTCCGCCTGGACCCTCCGCCGCACCCTCCTCAACGCCGCAAAAACCTACCTCCTCCGCCCTTCGAACCCACAACTCTCCTCCATCACTTCCCTCCTTCAAACCACCGTCCTCGACGACAACACTTCCGACACCGGTATTGCGTACCATATCCGCAAGATTCGCGAGAATGGGCTCCCCACAGAGGACGAGCTCAAGACGTGGCCTGAACCCATGTCTGAGGATGAAAAGGAGAAGCTCAGGGTTAAAGCGAGGAAATTGCTCGTCGAGAGGGGTATGCCACAGGCGCTGACGAGCGTTATGGGGCAGGCGGCGAGTGGCGAGGCACTAGGCAAGGTGTTTGACTGTTTGCAGGATCAAAGAGTCGCAAGGGGTGTCATGTTTGGCCTGGTGCTGCAGGGGTTGAGGGCTGTGACGCAGTAAAAAGAAGAGGTGAACTTGTTGTGTGTGTGAGAGAGATTAAGGGAAGGAAAATGGTTGGTATGAAAACCTGTTATGATTGGCCTAGAGAGCCTTACCAATTTCTTTTTACATGGCGTTCGTAATAAGACGATGTGGGAGAAGAAAACAGTACACGTTCCCCTTGGATCTGTTTTGAGTTTTTTTTTTAATTTCTTATAAGCGGATAAAGAAGTACACGTTTAATATTACAAAGTTTCAATGACCATGTTTTGTATCACAATAAAAAGGATGGGGACATAAGTTTGAGAATTTCAGATCCATTCATTATAATACTCGTAAAGTGAGTCCCTATTCGATTGATACTTTGCACCACTCCAAACAAGACAAACAAACCGGTAATCAACAACTTGCTGT